GTAGGGGGTGATGTTGCTGTAGTCGAACGGTGAGACGGACGTGTAGTTCAGTTTTGGGCACGCGTACGGTGCTGCAGGGATTATATATAGGTGTAGTAGTACCTCTTCGGGCTCTTGTACACCTTTTTCTTGCTACGTGTGCGTGTTCTTTAGATCCTCAGATGGCTCTAGCACTTTCGTGACCACGGGCCGAGAGTCTTTGCTAGATTTTGGCATTTAGCATCTGGCATACGGTTTAATGTGAAGTCAACAACAACAACCTGCAACTCCCTCGCCTCCCGCCGAACAGATTGTCACCCAATGTTCGTTTCTGTCGCACGAACTACATTGGCGACGGGAGAGTGCCATGCCGAAATGCCCATCGAAGTTTCTTGTGTCCGTACACTGGTAGAAAAATGTGTCCTGACTGGCGCCCGATTCCGACGGCAGTAGCAGTCGCCCTCCGTCGTTCTTTTTTGTACGGGGTATCGTTTCCGGGCACGCCTCTGACACCGTCTACACCGCGTAGCGTCTGATATGCACGTGCCCGGAAATTCCGGTTGAGACTCATGTTTCCCTTTTCTTTTGTCCTTGCACTTCAACGATGACACAAACGCCGCCCTCAAGCCCATCAAAGTGGACGGCCGCTCCCTGGTAGACCTCAAGGCCATCGTCTACGCCAAGGAGCAGAAGGTCAAGCTTGAAGGCGGCGGCGGGAGCGCAGGCGGGGGGCTCCGTGGTCTGCGAGGAAAGCGATCCTCGGGGGACCGGGACGGCGGCGGCGGCGCGCGCAAAGACCCCTTTGCGAGGAGCAACAGGGGCGTCGAGGACCGGTCGCAGAGGGACGAGATCGAGAGGGTGACCGCCTCCAAGAAGAGGAAGGCTGGGCAGCGGGTCATGGCGGCGAAATCAAGCCTCTACGAGAAGCTGGGTGAGACACATGGGTGTAGACTAGCCGCCATGTATGTTGTGATACGCGCCGTGTACGTTTGCAGGCGTCGTCGTTTTTCTCGTACGCTGTTTGTATGTGGTGGAGACTTGGGGTGGTCTCGGAGCTCTCCCCCAGCTGTATTCGTAGGTAGGTGCGAAGAAGGACCGCCCAAAGTGAAGGAGGATGCGGCCGACATGGTGGCTGAGTTCACGTAGTTCGCGTTTTGCAAGACATGGTGCAAAGGAATTTGGCGACTCCAGGTTAGTCCAGCCCATTACACGATGCCGCGGGAGTCTGTTGCTCGCGTATTCGTTCCTGTGTGGCCTTTTGAGCGAGTGGAGAGCAGGGGCCGTGTGTGGTTTGAAGGACCCACCACCAGCTAACACAAAATCTGAACCGGTCCCCAACGTGTTGTTATCTCCTCGATTGTGCGTCTGCGCGGTCCCGCTCCTAACCTCCCCGTGGCAGCCAAAGGAGAGATAGGCGGTGCTACTCGGGCGGGGTCTCTGGTGGATTTCTCGCGTAAGACGGGCGACGACCTGGCTCTTCTCGAGGCCAAGGCCGCGGAGCCAACGGAGCACCGCCATAGGGACGATGGAAAGCCCGGCTCCAGCGCCAGCGAGGCCGGCGACAGCCGGAGCAGCGGGGGCCGGAAGAAGCGACAGCGGAACAGCGGCGGCCGCACCAAGAAACGCGGCGGCGGATCGGAAAGCCGGTCGGACTCTGGAGAGGAGGGTACGGGCGATGATGATGGTGACTTTTACGACGGCAGCGGCGGCGGCTACGGCGGGGAGGTGGAAATCGTGGACGAGTTCGGCCGACACCGAACCGTCACCAGGGGAGGCCGCGAGCACCGCGAGCACCTCAAGGCCAAGACGCGTGCGGCGGAAATCGAGTCGGAGCGGCAGGAGTTCGAACAAAACGCCGCCGCCGCCGCCCCGTCGTCGTCGTCTCTAGCAAACTTCGACGACCGTTACTCCTACCGAGGTAACACGGGGGCCGCACCCCCGCCTCCCAAGTTTTCCTCCTCCTCCTCCTCCTCCTCCTCTACCACCGCCGGACGCTTTGGATCATCGTCGTCACCTGCTCCTACCGCGGCGACCGTTGACGATGGCCCGGCGGCGGGAGGGTGGGCTTGGAGCTCCGGCGCGGGGAGGGGCGCCGACGAGGGCGACTTCGAGACGCGCGAGGGAGAGGAGCGGCGAGCCAAGAAGGGCATGGCGGAGCTGCTGGGGCGGGAGGCCGGCGGCAAGGGTGACGACGACGCCGGTGCCAAGGTGCAAGCGCGTTGTCGGGCGTGTTAACGCCGTGCTGGCGTTGAGGTTCTTGCGCGTGGTTGGTTTTGTTTGGCATGCGTGTTGTTGATGTGTCCTGAAGGTTTGTGTGGTGTTTGTCCGCTGTGGAGGCGTGGAGGCGTTTCCTGCATCTATCCCAGAGGAGGGCCTTTATGAATGGTTGCGGTGGGGATCATAAATCGAGGGAGCCAAAGCTGTCTCTCTCTTTTTGTTGTTGCCGATGTCAAGATGAATTTAGCTCCGTACCCCCAAGCGTTCCTCCGCTAGATTTCGACGCTGTCCGCAGATACCAGGCCCGTAGTGCCAGGCCAACACGCCTCCCGCTTACGGGCATGGCTTCTTCGGCGACTGTGGTTATTCCCCGCCCAATGGCACACTCTTTCCACGACTGCACAGCAGCCGCTTTCGACGCAGATGCCCGTTGTCGAGCGGCAACGGTCACGTTGCAGCGGACCGCCCAGCACGCGGAACACCCTCCTGTCCCGCTAACTTTGGCTTCTTCCTCTCCCCGGCCGTTGGTCGTGCCGCCCCGTTCCGTTGCCATGTCCTGCCCCCTTTTTTGGTCCTACGATGCCTGCCGGCTACATTTCGTTCGTAGATTCGGTCTCAGTGGGAGCAGACGCTTAGCGGGGACCAGAAGACGTACTTGCGACAGGTCCAGGAAGAGACGGAGGCGGTGAGAAGGCAGGCCACGGCCAAGGCGAAGGCCGGGGGGGGGCAGACGGGCAGAGAGAAGCAGCGGGCAGAGAGGAAGGAGCTCCTGCGGCGGAAGCAGGAGGCTAGGGCTGCTCGCTTGCGGGGAGAGAGCGCTTAGACCTAGACGACGAGTACTGGTGCTACTGATACCGGTAGAGAGAGCGGGAGAGAGAGGGCGAGAGAGAGAGGAGCAAATGGACGGAAGGAGACAGCATACTCTCCTGCTAGTTTTGCGAGACGGGTCCGGTTGGGGCTTGGGGTCGTTGAAGAATCAGGCGCCATGTGAACGTCTCCTGTTCTTTTTTTTTTTGTGGGACGAGTACGGTTCAGGGTTGGTGCCGTTGGAGAATCAGGCGACAATGCGAGCTGTCGCCTTGCGTTGAGCGCGGCGAATATTTTAAAAGGAGCAGCAGCTGGGCGACCAACGAGTCGTTTCTTCTTCGAGCACGCTCCTGGCTTGGGTGGAAAGCACTATTGTAGGTCGTGTGTACACAGGGAAGAAGGTGCTGCACTCTTCTCGCGTTAAAATTAGAAGGGGAAGCACCGCAGGAGGGGTGGGTAGGGGGACCTCAGTGAGTGGAACCCGTTAGTGTGACCACGGGTTGGAGTACACGGCACAAGTGCTGTGAGCGCTGATTTGAGGTGCAGACAAAAAACACGACGAGTCAGCAGTGGGAAGGTTCGCTTTTGCCCCCACCTTTCGGTTGGCCAACACCCGGCAACCTCGCTCCCCTTGCGCTTGTCGCCGCTGTCCTCGAAGAGGGACCGCGGTTCCGCATACCTTGTTCCATACTCTTCGCCTTAGATGATGCCCCGAAATGGGCAGTCGGTTGGTTGCCTGCGGTTGGTTGTCTTCACTCCGCCGAAGCGTGTTTGAACAAACGATCTACTCCATGTCAAACTTTGGGCCAATCCTGAAGCATTGAGCAACCAGAGGGTTTAAAGAAGTTTGACAGCATGGGAGGGGTAGCATCTTGAACGGTGTTGTACGGTGTTTGTGGCGTGCTACGTACTTGGCTTGAGAAGAACGAACGGCAATTGGGGTCGTTGGATGCAGTAATTCACGCTGTTGTTGGTCTTGTGTTAGGGGTTACTCCTCTTAAACTTTATTGCCGCGAGGGAGGGCTGTCATCGGAAGACAATCCGACGTCCAGGTCGTCTAAAGGACTACAAGAGCCGTCGTCGCAACGCTTAAAATCTCAACGAAATAGTCCTTCGCGGGTGACACGACATACGAAAACCCCACCAAAAGCGGGGGAACGTTGTGGGCAGAACCTTTCGCTAGTTTGTTTGCAATGTTTGGTTGTTCCACTTCATGAGGAGCGTTCTTTCGGCCTCCAAAAAAAACACGCGTTGCTACTAGACGGGGGTTGCATCAGGACAACAATAGACGCGACCACGTCGGGCCTTCGGGGAGGCAACGACTTGTGTGCAGGCCATGCTGGATAATCTAGCGTCCCTCCCGTCCCTCGGCAACAACAAACGTCTAAACTTGTGGGCGCGAGATCTCTCACGGCCTCAAACACTTTAGACAGGTCAGGTCGGCCCCCCCCAAATATAGGGAATCCACCAAAAATACTCTAAATCATATCAAAGCTCTATAGAGGAAAGAACGCTGCGTTGCCACCCAGGCCACTGCGCATCGGGGTGTTCATTCAAAAATGGCACCCTCTTCACTTACAATAAATAGGCACTACCGGAATACAAGCGAGGAGATCCGCGATTTACTCCGAGAACACTCACATCCTACATAGCGACGGGTTACCTTTCTCTCCCTTCTAAAAAAAAATCGAAAAAAAGAAAAACCGAAAGCACCACACTCCCGAACCTCGCATCCCCGAGGTCAAGCTGTATCGATTCGCATCTGATGCTTACGTGTAGTCTACACGTGTAGTCTTCATCCTTTGAATATGCCTGGGCATTTACCTTGGCCAAAACAACCACCTATCCGTTCGAACATCCGGCAAAATACCGCGCATACAGAAACGAGAGGTACAGCGGAGGCAGCAGCAAGGCGCCGAGAAAGAAAGGCTAGACCAGATCGTGGCACACACCAGACAAGATAGAAAACAGACGCAATTCACGGCCATCCGTGCTCCCGACATGACCTGAGCTCCCCAAAAAACAAAAGAGGATACGATGCGGTTTGTTGGCCTGTACTCCTTCGTCTCCCGCTAGTCTAACTGCTGTCATTCAAGTCTACGACAGCCATCTCTGAGTTCTACGATAGCTGCGCCATCCGCAGAGACAGACAAGCAGACAGAGACCCCACGCAACGACCACCTAAGTGTACCACGGCGTCCTGCCAGTGCACGCGGGCTGTGTGCGCGTGTGTGTGAGCAAAGCAACCCAGGGCACGGGATTGAGCCTTGATTCTAAAAGCACGACTCCATCGCGGGCAAAGCCGTGACCACAATGGACAACACGTGACCGTCGCCGACGACAAAATGACACACAAAAAACACCGTCGCCTGTCTCCTTAAGCAAGTGTCCTCTTTCTCTCCCCGCGTGCTTCTTCCCCGTTAGATATGTGTAGCTCACGCCGCCGCCGCACCCCCCATCAGGGCCTGCATCTGCCTCTGTGCTTCCGCCATGAGCTCGGGGTTCTTCATCAATTCTTCCATGTTGGCGCCGGCCTGTTTATTTTTGCACCCGGAAAGAGAAAAAGAAAAACGGTCGAGCGAAGCCATTAGCTTGATTCGCACGTGGTAAGATGGAGAAGCATAAGCTATTGGGGAGTTGCTCAGCAGAGGTCTGATCTTACCGTTGGTATGTAGAGGCCCACTGGGTTCGGGAGCGGACGTGCTTCGACGCCCGTTAATACCTTCACTTGCCGACAAAAAATATGTAGCTTTGAAAAATGGCTGGTGCGCCCAGGTGACAGCAGCATGTAGTGCCTGCTGCAGCCGTAGCGCACGATCGTCGCTACTTCGGCGCGGCTTCTTCCGATGACTCTTCTTCCGATGACTCTTGTCTGCGTTTGCTCCCTTGGGTATGTGTGTGTTGGGGGGGACAACATCAACATGATGGTGTTCTGAGGTGACAGCACCATGTAGTGCCCGGTGCCGCAGTGGCGCGAAACACTCGCTATTCGGCTCCTCTCCATGATTATTTCTGACTTCGCTCCTCGGGGGTGTGATCGAACACCAGCATCAATTGGCATTGGTATGGTATTCCAGCAACCAATAGCCCTAGCGCAGCAGAGAACACTGGAGCGAACCACCAACGTTACACAAGGCTTAGGGATAACTCGTCCATACGCGTGGAGCACAACCCGCAGCACGACAAAAGGAGATACGGCGGGGGTAAGCACTACTACCATCAGTGTGCATGAGGGAGAGGGAGGTACCTTCGCAAGCTGTTCCTTCATGGCCGGGTTGTCCATCACCTCCTTCATCTGCTTCATGAATTCCGGGTTCTTCATCGTCTCCTCCACCTGTGGTTTAAAGAAGCCCCCCCCCCGACAAAGACGAGAAAGAAGTAAAAACACAGGCGAAGGCGAGGTTGGCGCTGGCCACGCGAACCATTCGTAACGTATCGTAAGCTAGCCCTGGTTCTGGTATGCCCTTTCCTGAGGGACGCTCCGTGAAGTAGAGAGGGGGGGTTCGAATCCTAATCCTCAACCCTATGTCGTACTCCATACCAAAACCAAACTACTTGTTCTCGCCAAGGCCATCCATTGTTTTTCTGAGGAAAGCTCGCGCCGCGAGTTCCCAGCCTCATCTCTCCACGTTGAGTGGAACCAAACCCAAGCCAAACTGCCACCGGAACCAGTCAAGCATATGTTACCCACCCAACCCGGCATTCCTCGACCATGGCTCCGCAGCTGTCGCGTTTCGTGAAGGAACTGGTCCCATCTGATTGGATCCCCACTACACACAAATACGCGGAAGCAACGGCAACCGGAGTGACAACAATAGGCCACGGATATACCGCCGTGGATCCCGTTGCTCAAAATCGCAATCCTGATACGTACGTTGTGTGTTGTCTTCACGACAACAAAAAAAATCGGTTCGGTATCTCCATCCGTGCTGATCTAACGCTTGACGGGGTCGATTATCGGGGTCACAGGCTAACTTACCCTAAAAAACGTACAGCAAAGAACAAAAAAAAAGGTCTCGTCGCTCACCTGCTTCATGACAGCGGGGTCCTTCATCATCTCCATGGCGTCCTTCATGAAGTTAGGGTCCATCATCGCCGCCGACGCCGCGTTGAGGCCTTGGTTGTTGTTGAGAGCGGTAAGCACAAAGGCAGGCGCTCGTTAGAAGCCGCTCAACACATGCAGGACGAACATTCCACACAAAAACCCGCATGCAGGACGAACATTGAGCACCGTACGCACTCCAAACTAGCAGGGATCCACCACAGCTGCGGCACACTGGGTCTCCAATCGCTTTCAGCTGTTACTCGCTGGCGACGGAGCTCAGACGGATTTGAGCAGAGTGACGCCTCGCTCCATCGTAACTTACCCCAAAGACCTTTTTTGCTCCCGCCCTACCCCAACGAGACAAACATACAACGTATTATCGCTCAATGCTTGGTGCCTTTCGAACCGCAGCGTCCATATCGCCACGGCATCTCGCCACTTCACCTCGCAAAAAAAAAAAACATCCAGAGGGGTCCGTGGTTTCGTTTCTTCCGCCGCATCCCCCCTTATTATATCTACTTCACGGCTGTGACCCGCCAAGAGGACCATGTCTGTCTCGAGAGGGTGCTACGAGTCCGGACGTGTGGGCTGTCACAACCGTTCTGTTGCTCAAAACAGGCAGCAAAAAGAAAAAACGAACGACAGAAAATCGGTGCCATCGATCTATGTGCCGGCGCGCTTCTATGTCACGCTCCAGCGTACTCTCAGGCTTTCAGCGGGGGCGGCTCCCCCTGGCACGTGCAGATGTGTTTGGGCGTAAAGTCCGTGCAGAACAATTTGTCCAATCACGTTTTGTGCGATAACTTTTCTTGCAAAAAGAATTGAAACGTCAAACAACAACAGTGGTGACCGCCTCGTTGAGGTACGTCGATAGCCGCAGAGTTTTTTTTCTTTCCGATATACAACATTCTTATACCATAATCATCCACGGTGCCCCCTACATTCTGCATACCCTCCGATTTTCATCCACGGAGCCCCCTCACCCCCCCCTCCAAGATTCCCCCCTGCCCCTGTACAGAGACTCCTTCCCAGACAACGAAAGAGGACATATATAACTATATATTTACATGTGGTGACTTACATACATACATATATATGTAGATTAGAGCCCCCGATGGGTACGGTACCATGGTCTAGTCAACAAGGAGAGCGCACCGTACAACCACCCAAATGTCTTCAACACCAGAGCAAAATCGATCTGCAGGACATAAAATCCAAAAGGCTTTGTTTCAGCATCGGAAATGTCGATCCGATACATGTGCACCCAAAGTATCTATAGAAAGTCCCCTGTAGGGACGGTACCATAGACTAGACAAGTGAACACCGAGAGTGCACCGTACAACCACCCCAGATGTCTTCAACACCGGTAAACCACTTCTGCCAAAAGCAAAACTGAACAACACACATCACGACACATCGTTCCCCGCCTCCTTCACTTCTTCCGCATTCGCCATCGCACGCATCTTCCTCTTCCACTTCTTGAACGCCCTTTTCGCCCTCTGGAACGAGAAGGTTCGGTTTTCCTGCGAAGCTGCCATTGCCTTGGCCACCGCTTCCTCCTGTTGCTGTTTGGATTTCCCCCACCCCCCTGCCTCCACGATGGCGCCCCACCGCTTAGTGGCTTCTCGGTGGGTGTGCCAGTCCTTGAGGTCGCGGTCCTTGAGGTAGTCCTCCCGGCCGTCGTCATACGCCTCAACGTAGAGANTTCTCGGTGGGTGTGCCAGTCCTTGAGGTCGCGGTCCTTGAGGTAGTCCTCCCGGCCGTCGTCGTACGCCTCAACGTAGAGACACGCCACCCTGCTCCACGCGCGGATGTGGCCCAAAGGCACGCCACTCATTGTGCCCGGCAGAATCTTGAGCATGTGGGGGAGGAAGTACTCGTAGTGAAGCCGAAGAACGTGCTTGATGTATCCCCAGTACCGCTCAATGGTGTTGAGCTCAGGGTGGTACTTGGGGAAGGAAGATGCACACGTGCCCGGCCTTCTTGAAGATCTCCTCGACCTTGTTGAGCTGCTCCTTGAAGCCCTCAGGTCGGAGAAGACCCGATACCCACAACACCGCTGCCGCGTTCCAGCCGCCCCTCCCGCTGTAGTGGGCCCCTCGGTGGAAGAATTCTGCTGCTCCCGCCGCGCTTGCTCTAGAGCCCTCTCCCGCTCCTCCCCCCCTTTGTTGAAAGCGGTGATCGCTTGCCGTGACGCCGCGTTGTTAGCCTTGCACTCCTTGCAAAATCTGGAGCAGCCCCTTCTTCCTCTCGCCATCAAGCCGCCACAACCCCATCTCCCGGAGCATTTGCTCAGCTCCTTTGTTGAGGCCAAGCAGCGGCGATCCAGCCACGACCTTGGTGCCGACGCAAAACTTCTTCGGCGTCCCTCATCTATTTGACCACTGCGAAACTCCTCGATCAAAAGCCCATGACCCGAAGCTATCGACATGTCGCCGACGCTGCTACAGCTACTGCTGGCCTCCAAATCTCCGCTGTCGGCACAAACGCTGCCGCCGCCCGGAGGACCGGCGTGCGGCGCAACCTCTAAATCCACCGCTGGGTTCTCTACTGGACCAACCTCGCCACCGACAGAGGAGCTCTCCTCCTCTTCCTCCTGCTCCTTGTCCCGCCGCGCCCTCTGCATCCACGCTCCCATAGTTCGTGCCAACCCCGCTGCTTCCTTCCCCAAAAGCTTTTTCTTATTGCGATATTTTTGGCTCGCGGACAGCGTCGGAGGCCGAGAAGGTTTATGCGGCGAATTTTTTTGTGCCGCCTTTCGTGCCGCGCGAGCTGCGGACTCCATCGTGTTCTGTGCGAAACGCAGTATCGACTGACCTCCACCACTGCTGTGTGCGCCGCTGGTATCCTCATCGCACCAGTCCTCGTCGTTGACGTCCTCGTCTGCAGCCGCCTTCCCTTCCTCCGCATCCACATCCATTAACTCCGCGTCATCGTCGCCGTCGGAGAGCGCATCACCAGAGCCGGGTGGAAGTTCATGTCGCAGCGCCAGCTTCGGTTTCTCGGAAACCGCCCGGCCATCGGGTCCGCGCTTGCCAAACTTCTTCTTCCTTGCCCGTCCCTTGGGTATCCCCATGGTGCTTGCGTGCGTGATGTGTGTTCTTTGGGTCACCGCAACAAAATGTGGAATATCTCGAGAACCAGATTTTTCCCAGCAAAACCCAAAAATACCAGCCGAGATATTGACTGGAGGAAACGTTTGCCGCAGTCTATTTTGAAATCGGTCGTTGGATATCTCGTATAAAACAAAACAAGTTGGTGCTCTATATCAGGTTTTTGGGCGACACCTTCGTCAATTTTGAGTATTTTGCAAACGAAAAAAACAGTTTGGCAAATTGCGAGATCTGTTCGAATCCGTTGAGTTTTTTTGGCATCGGTAAACAACACACCCCAGGAAAAACAAAACAAGTTTCCCCGGTTTTTCGAGCATAAAAAGTCAAGGAAAAACAAGAAAAAAAAAACTCTCCGTCACGCCATGCACCTGGAAACAGGGCGTTTGCCGGTACTTTCGGATTTAGGAACAACCACCTGTGTACAGACACAAGCTGTCATTTGTGCCGGGAAAGTTTTGGACAAACTGTTGTGCACGGACCGTAGATGGGGGGAGGAGGGGGGGAGCTCCGCCGTCGGTTCTTTGCCACAGGCCAACAACGCGTCTACATCACTCGTCGTCTGGGGATATACCTAAACCAAATCGATGGTAACTTTGAGGTCAGCAGCGGCCCCGGCAGCAGCAGCAGCAGCAGCAGCAGCAGAAAACGACACACGACACCGCAGTCGGTGTGGCCTAGGCTGGGCTTGCTTCCGCTTTGCTTACCCATGGCAGCGTCCCTCTTGCCGTCCTTCCCGGGGCCGGCAGCGATGAAGTCGGTGTATTCTTTCGTCTGTCGACATCACGGGACAAAAAAAAAAAAACGCCACGCAATACGCAGCAGCAACGATTGACAATCACAAAAAAGAGAAACAGAAAAAACACCGGCTGGTGTGTGTGCGGCTCCCCGTTCGAGGATATTTCACGGGAGGCAAGAGGCTGAGGTGCGCGCACAACAACGTGGTAGACCTTAACAAGAACGGCAGCATCAAGGCCACCGGTCCCGCCAATGGAAAATCAACACGGACGGCAGTCGCGGTAGACCATCGCGACAAGAAACTACTCATGCCGTTGACACCCTCTGCTATCGCTCTTTCGTTCTTCACAAAAGAAAAATAAGGAAGAGAGTGCATGCAGAAAACAAGAGAGAAAGCACGAGGTAAAACAAGAAAAATAGAAGAGGGCACAAGCGGTGGTATGAAATGCATACGCCGAAATAACATTCCATGCCCGTCGTGTCCATGCAGTGCGCACCTTCTTCGCCATGGCTTCCATGGCTTTGGGGTCTTGGAGGAAGTTTGTGGCGTCGGTGGCACCGTTCTTCCACTCGTCGCTCTCCATCAACTTGTTCATCTCCTTCTTAAAGTTCTTGTCCTGCGAGACCGACAAAAAAATACGAACACCAACACAAGCGCCACCAGCAAAAAAAAAAAACACATACGCGTTCTTCAGCCCGTTAGCGCGGTCTACGCTAATAATGAAGACACACACGAGCAAACACGGTATAGGCGCGGCCACATGCGGCACTCTGAAAGCACGACAAAATCCCACCATAAGCACCGGAAGACACAAACGGACAGCATGGTAGTCAGCACAAGCAGCACCAGAACCTCCCGAGCAATCGGCCTCGCCTAGCATGTCTTCACAAAATCGACGTAGCGCCTGGCGCTCTCGTCACCAACTAGGGCTTAGGGAAAGAATGGCGTGATAGAATCACACAAGGTGTAGGCAGCGGAACGTTGGCAGGGCGGTTCTGTCGGACCTTGCACACACGACGGTACGTTCTGTTCTGACAAAACGACCGATCACGACAGCCACCTGGCCGGCGAGGAGGAAATAACCAGGGGGGAAACTCATCAAAAATGCACAGCCTGCCCCTCGCTCGCCCTTCCCCTACTACCGCTTGCCCTTGCGGATGTCGTCGGCCGGCCTGACGTTTAACCAGCCCGTCGAGCCTCGATCGCGTTCGACCTCTTGACAACTCTTGTCCTGACCCCGACGTATCGCCTGGGCACGCTCTCGCCTCGATGGACTTGTCCAAGGACATATGGTGGCGCCAGGAGCGTGCCCGGGGAGGAACGAGTAGGGGCGTGGGAGAGCCAGATCGCAAACAAAAACAGCCCGAGACGGACTGCGCCAAGGACAAGGAGGGCAACGTATGCATCCCAACAAGTCAGGGTGGGTAAAGGGAGGAGCGAGTACATCGAGCGTGTTCGCGGCCTTCCTCCTCGCGTGCTCTTCGACACCTTCTGGCTTCCGATTCTCTGAATCAAAGAGAGCGCCCGAGACGACCTGTTGCCCTGCTGCGTGCAAGCTTGCAGGTCATAGGCCGACAGGTTGACGCGGGCGCTCTCTTCTCAGCGGGGAATCGGAAGCCCGACGGTGCAAGAATACGGCAGGAGAAGGGCGGCCCACGTGCTCGACGTAGTCCCACCAACGTTACCGGTCCGAACCTCTTGGGGGTGCACAACCTTGTCCTCCTTGTGCTTGGCGCATGCCTTCTCGCGCCATTCTTGTTTGCGGTATTGCTCACCCCCGTCGTCTACCATTTCCTTCCTGGCGTCCGCCGCGTACGCTCTTGGCCCCACCGAATGTCCTTGCAAGTCCTTCCAGACTACACCGTGCCAGACGCTACGTCGATCGGCGGGGTCAGAACAAGAGCTGTCAGAGGCCGAACGAGATCGGGGCTCCACGGGCTAGTGCAACGCAAGGCCGGCCAACGACAGCCGCAAGGGCAACGTTATGTAGGGACGGTCGGCCAACCAGCAAGCTGCGCAGTTTCACCACAAGTCTCCCCGCCTGGGTCTTTCCTCGTCTGCATTGTGGTTATCGTACTTTTGTCGTTGTTGTCACAACAGAACCGCGTCACGTTTGCAAGGTCTGAAGAACCGCCCTGGCTGTGTCCCCCTTCCTGAAGCTCTACTGCGACTGCACAAAAACAAAGACAGCAACACCACCAAGGGGGCACCAGAACAAACCAACCAACCAACAGCACGGTAGACGGCACAAGCAGCCCGTCGAGTTAGTTCCCCAGCACTCGACCTCGGTCACCCCTTCTCTTCAGAAGACCGACGTAGCGCCTGGCGCTAACGCCCCCAAAAAGGGCTCGGGAGAAACAACGGTCGCATGGAAACACACATGAGTGTGCCGCGAGTGGCAGGGGGGCTCGCAGACAGGGCGACCCGGACCTCGCGAACCGATACAGCAGTCACCCCCGCTTTAAGGACACTCATAGCAAGTCAACTGCCCAATTAGAGGACAAAATAATAAGTAGTACCAGAAGCAGCGCGGCGCTACCAATGAAAATGTGTCGCTCACCTCTCCTCACCTCCTTGTCCCCGCATATATACAATATAGAGGGAGGAGGGGGGGGGGGGCGTACTCTTATGTTTTGCATGTCTTAGCGGTTAGACCATTGACCACGCGTCCTCGAGAGGACGGAGCATTGTTCCCACAGGACCGATCACCGATGGCCAATCGTTCCTT